TCTATTATGAGCAATTTGGACCTTAGAACATCTTTTAGAAGATGAGGCAGTGGCATTGGATATCTGAACTCTTTATGGGAATGGTTCAGGGCCATACTGTGCAGGATGAAGCCAGCGGGCATGTTGTTACCGAGCACTTACAAAGTGCTTGATTGAGACACACGTTCATCCCTGTTCATTGCCCCTCTAGTCACAAACACAAGGACATGGAAACCACCAAAATGCCCAGCCCAACCGCTGCATAAAAGTGTGGTTCCTATATACAACAGGATTTCACTCAGCTTTAAAGAAAAATGAAATCATGAAATTTGCAGGTAAATAGAAGGAATTGGAAACCATGCTGAGCGAAAGATAAATATCACATGAGTTCTCGCTCATATGCTGATCATAGTGTCCAATCTTGAGATTTGTGTTTAGTAATTTGGAAGACCAGCAGAAGCCAGGCAACTGGAGAGGAACTATTGGTAGGAAGGGGAAGAGAGACCGTAAGGGAGGGGAGGTCGTAGAACACAGGTGACAGAGGGAGGAAATGATACAGAGGGGGCTTTACCTGTGGAGAGGGGTGAGAGGGGAGGGCAGAGGAGAGGGTGGAGAAGAGGATAAATAACAGTAAGGGTGCCTGGAAGATTGGACTCACCTGTATGGGGAACCTGAGAAGCTGAGGATTTGTCTAAATGACTGTGGGAAGATCTGTCACAAACGCGGGCAGCAGACACAAAGGGGAATGGCAGAAGGAAGACACTGTCTGCTGGTGGTTTGGTCTTGCCTCTCCCTGCTGAGTGAGTTTATGCTGCGCTGCTACGGCTGCTATGACGATTCCCTCACTGATATCAAAGCCACTGTTCCAGGCTTCCATGGCTGACTTTCAGGCTCTGGGCGAGATTTGGATTGCTGAGTCACTCAGCTTCAAAGACCAAGCAACTTAGGAGTTCTCAGTCTCTCGGGTGTGATTCAGCTGTTATGATTTCAAAGCTGACTTAATAATAAAAATCTTTTAATATTTACGCTCATTCTTTTGCTTCTGTTCCTCTAGAGCAGTGGTTCTCAACCTGTGGATTGCCACCCCTCTGGGGGGTCAAATGACCATTTCACAGGGGTTGCCTGAGAGCTTCTGTAAACAGATATTTACATTATGATTCATAAAAGTAGCAAAATTGCAGTTATGAAGTGGCAGTGAAAATACTTTTATGCTTAGGGGTCATTACAACATGAAGGTTGAACATTGAAAGGTTGCAGCATTAGGAAGGTTGAGAACAGGTGCTCTAGTGAAAACTGGTTAATATACATTCTCCTTGATTTGTTGGCCAGGATGTCCTGGAGCCTCCCCAAACAATACAGGTTATCGTCATTGCTCTTGGTTGCCCAACAGAACTTGGTGGTAAGACCCTATTGCTGCAATCACCACACATTCTGGTCATAGGCCATGAGAAGATGGTACTGACAGGGGAACTTCCTGCTGTCATCTTTCATAGCACTGGGAAGTGTTAGCCAGGCTTCTGTGTGTGTGTGGTGGGGGGGGGGTCACCAAATTTTAATTGTAACCTCTGTGAACTACAATAATAGGCAAGATACACCTATGGGTGCAATAGTGGCACTCGCATTGTAGGGGTAACCACTCAATTCCTGATTGGATTTAAGACCTGTTCCACATGAGGGGAAAAAAAAGAAAAAGTCAATGCTGGGTACTCCAAAGTCATAGCTGGAGAATTCATAGGTCCCAGGAGTGAACCTACTGCTTGGATTTTGGTAAATGGGTGATATCAAACTGCCCCCTAAATTTGCATCTCTGCATCTGTTCAACACGCAGCTCTCAGATCTTGACAGAGAAGTAGCTTTGTGCACTAAAGGACGGTTAATGCAGAAACTCGGAAGATGGAAGTGCAGAGTGTCAGTGGAGCGCTTAGCCAGCCGCAGGCATGCTAATTTGAAGAGAGAGCCTCTGGAGGCTGCAACCTTGGACAAAGAACCACAGGCATCTTCCTCAGGGAAGAGCACGCCAATAGGTTACCCACTTCCAAACACTTAGCCCTGAGAATGTAAACACAGGTAACAGCATACAGACTGAACAGGTTGTACTTCTGCATTAGGAATACACACCAATAATTAATAAAAGAGAAGACAACGAATTTGAAAGAGAGCAGGGAGGGGTACATGGAAGGACTTGGAGGGAAGAAAGAGAAGGGATAAATGATAATAGTTATAATCTCCAAAATAATTTTGAAAAGAACATAAATTCTAAAATGTTTAATCTAGGCATGGTGGCACACGCCTTTAACCCCAGCACTAGGCAGACAGAGGCAGGTGGAGCTCTTGTGAGTTCAAGGCTAGCCTGGTCTACAAAACAAACAAACAAACAAATAAACAAACAAACGGTTGAGATTTGAGTTAAACCCCTGAGTTTAAAACGTTGGCAGTAAGAGAGCAGGGATCTAAAACAGGATTTAAAGGCAGCCAAGGCAGGTGTGTGTGCTCATTAGATCTAGTGAGGTTGACACAAGCCTAGATGTGGCTGGGAAGAGGGATTAACTGAGGAATGGCCTCCTTCAGGTTGGTCGGTAGGCGTGTCTGTGGGGCACCGTGGGCGGTGCCATCACTGGGACAGGTGAGCCTGAACCCTGTAAGACCAAAGGAAGTAGCTGGGCAAGGCTGGGGAGTAAGCCAGTAAGCAGCTGTGGTTCCTGCTTCAGGCTTGTGCCTCGGCTTCAGTTGACCAGAGGCTATAACCTGTCAGGTGGAAACAGCCTTTTGCTCCTGAGTTGCTTTAGGCTATGGTGTTTATCACAGCCACAGAAGGCAGACCAGGGCAATGGTGCATGCACGGTACTGAAAACGAAGCCTTTTCAAGACTTTCGGTTGAAAGTGCGCATTTCCTTTTCCTTAAGTTCTGGGTAAAACAAGGAACGTTGCTTCCACGATTACCGAAGTAGCGGTGCACATAAAAGATGTAATACCGAGCACATATTCTATGTGCCTACATGCATACAGGTAGCCATATGGCTGTCCAATTTCTTTATCCCAAATAGCCTAGATTTTTGAGTGTCCTAGATAATTTTGTGATTCTAATTTCATGGTTCTCCCCATTAGTGCAATCTTGCTGGAAGATCCTTTGGAGAGCTTGCCTAAAGTTTTAGTCTGAGTTAGAAACAAGAATACTCCATTTTAAGGAAAGTTTCCCAGGAATTTTATGTGTGTCTATATTTTCACTGTAATTCAATCTTCCATTAGTTCACTCTGTTTATTTACCCACTGATCATGTATTTCATGACATGAATTTTGTTCTGATGTGTGACGGATACCGCCTCCTACTGGCTCCTTTGCACCTGCCTTGTCTATACTCTATTATGTCAGCTACTTTATGACTCACGGCCCGTGGGTGCTGCCAGTAAAACTATGGCACAACACTGCTTTCAACTGCAGCCTGAGACACTAAAATGTGACTGTTATGTATGGCAGCTGTATTCCCCAGGTCTCCCGCTGAGAGCCACAGCAGGTGGGATCTTTCTTGGTGCGGCAGAATTGTGAATCATGTTTTAAATAAATGCTGATTGGCCAGGCAGGAAGTATAGGTGGGTCAACCAGATAGGAAGTAGAGGCGGGACGATGATAACAGGAGTATTCTGGGAAGAAGGAAGCTCTTCTCTTGAGTCCTGCCCAGACCACCAAAGAAGCAGGATGTGACCTACCCTGCTGAAAAAGGTACTGAGCCACGTGGCTAACAAAGATAAGAATAATGGGTTAATATAGAAGAGCTCATACGAAGCCTGAGCTAATGGGCCAATCAGTTTATATCTAATGTGTAGACTTTCTGTGTGATTTTCTTTGGGGCTTAACGACTGTGGGAAATGGGCAGGACAGAAACTCCACAGCAAGCCAGGCCCCTCATGTTACATCTGAGTTCAAGGCCAGCCTGGTCTACAATAGCTAGTTCCAGGATAGGCTCCAAAGCTACAGAGAAAACCTGTCTTGAAAAACCAAAACCCAAAACCAACCAATCAAACAACAACAAAAGACTGCTGGAGGGTCTGGCTGGCATTTTACGTTCCATTCCAGCACCAGAACTTAACGTGGCCCCCTCAACTATCCACTATTGTCTATCACAGCAAGCAACACAATCCAAAGGTACAGTTCAGTCAGCTGATCAAGGAATGTCTGCGATTGGTGCTGGTATTAGGATCTCAATGGCTGTCGCTCAGAGAGTGACATTTCACTGTCAAAATTCCCTCTTTGGTAGTTTATAAACAATTTAAGGTTATTGGCCAGCCCCATAATGTGTTTCTTAGTAGTCACTTCCTGCCAGATATGGTACATCCCTGTAATCCACGCACTTGGGAGACAGAGGCTGGAGAATTAATTCAAGCACATCCTTGGCTAGACAGTGAGTCTGAGGTCAGCCTGAGGTACATGAGACTCTGTTTCAAAACACACACAAAAATAAAATGTTTCTCACTGGAAAGAGCTTGTTTGCCTGAACTTCCTGTCAGTCCAGCCTCTGCTTCAGTGTTTAAATATGAATCCAGTTCAACAATTCTAACGTTCAGGTGCAACAAAAATCTTGCAGTAAGGATGAGGCAAAAGGCAAGCACTCACAGTGTGCAAGTGTGCGAGCACTCACAGTGTGCAACAGTATGCGAGCACTCAGTGTGCAACAGTGTGCAAGTGTGCAAGCACTCAGTGTGCGAGCACTCAGTGTGTGTAAGTACTCACAGTGTGCAAGTGTGTGAGCACTCGGTGTGCGAGCACTCACAGTGTGCAACACTATGCTTTCAGGTTTTCTATGCTGGGAAAGAGCCCGACGGTCTGTGCACTGTCTGTGCACTCTAATCCCGCATGTCTATACACCCTAAATGCTTCAAGGGTGCTGAGTTGTGTTTGCTCATGTGATTAGAATAAACCACTGACATGTAAATACGCCCACCTGCAATGTCACTCAAGTCTGAAGATGGTCTGACCTGGTGTCTACAGACTTAGGACTAAAAAGGACACAATGGACATTTCAGTAGCACTTTCTATAAAAAGAATGCTTTATTCAAAAATAGGGTCTTTTCAAAAAAGAGAAAACTCTTATGTACAGTTACTTGTCTTAGAAACAGTCAACAACACAGTAAGAGAGATGGGGACTCTAAAATTATGATTCTAAACATGCGGTACTGCAGTCTTTCCCCACCACACTCCAGTCATTCGCGTTTTTAAGGTCGTGGATTCCTTCCTCCCATATGCCACCCTTCCTGGAAGATACAGACCTGGCGATGGCTTGGCAGTGCAAAGTTCACGATGTGATTTAAAGAAAACAACATGGTTACTGCCTCTTAAATTGGGGACTCTGGGTATTTTATTACAGAGTCAATGTTTTTACAAAGATCTCAAAGGAGGTTTAATATTTTCTAACATTTAAAAGTTTCACTGTTTGTATTCACAAGCAAAATCAGAGTAATTAAAAAAACAAAAACAAAACTTGACTTCAAAGAAATTGCAAGGCAGTATTTTGGACCATGCCTTCATGCTCAGCCAGAGGGGATTCGCTGGTAGGGTGGTGGAGGAGAGCCCTCGGACCCTGGTTTCTGAGAGCGCAGCCATGTCCGTACTGACAGTGATTTCAGGAAAATCCAAAGCCTTGGCTCGTTCACCAGAGTTCCACCTTACTTTCTGCTTTATACTGTATCTATACAGTCCTGGCCACCCTGATCAGGAAGAGAGTCAAAAAAGGAACTGTGGGCTGCTTTTTAATTTTACATTGCTTAATAATCAGAGAAATGCTGCAGCCAATAAAGGTCACTCATTTACAAGTAAAAATATACAACACAGGCCATAAAAATAATGGAACTTGTGAAACCGAAAGCCTCGAACTTGATTCAATGAAAATGATAGGAGCAGTAATTCTGAGTGTTTCCGCCTTCTTGAGTAATCAAACTGCACCAGTCCTTTCTTTCCTTCCGTTCCGGGTGGACTGGTAAGGGCTGGTGCCTGCATCATCTATGTCATTTCCTCTAGGGTCCCCTATCCAGTAGGCCCCGGAATGGTCCTTTCAGTGATACCTCAGGGACAAATGCAAACTGCCTGCCAAGAGTAACTATCTGTCGAGTGTCAGCTGTCATTCTTCACATAAATAGCATCTGTAAAGAATAAAATGAAGTTGCCAACCGACTCATATGAGGCAAATTTACAGCGCTCTTAACAAAAACCATTGGCCAACTTCATAAGTCCATATATGGAAAGATTACCTATAAATCAAATTGTCATCCAACACATTTTAATAATTAAATAGTTAAATATGACACTGGACCAAAATGATCCCAGACTGTGAAAGGACTAATCCCATTAATCCCACAACTTGATGAGGCCATCCCAGCCACACGTGATGACCTTGGACGTTTCATGGGGGTGCCACACTGCACCTATGCACACTTTATCGTGGGCTTTAAACCGACTGTAGAGTTTTGTGGTCTTCCAGTCCCAAATGTTTAGTTTTCCATTTCCGTCTCCTGAAATCACATAGCTGCAACAGAATGAAAACACATCACAATGATTCGCCCACCTTAACCTGGTGAAACGGATGGAGAGACAGCGCCCGTGTTTTCACCCTAAGAAATGTGAAGGTACAGAGCTCAGAAGAACAAGCACACGCGCAGTCTGCCGCTGGCCATCTCCAGTCCCTCCCTCCGATAGGCTGCCAGCCTAAGAGCTAGGAAGTTATTTTTCACCAAGGAGACAGGATGAGTGCACAGAGGAACGTGTCTCTCAGGAGCCAGTGAGCATGTTAGGTACACTGCTGCAGTGAACTTTCAACAGTTTCAGCTTCAATATGCTCTGAACATGTCGAAGGCTGAGTCAGAAATAGGAATCTGAGGCCTAATTACCAGGCTAAATATAGAAAGTCACAGGATATCTGAATTCCTCTACCTATATATTTTTAACTAAGAGGAGGAAAGTGAATGCAGAAATTTCATTCCTGTGACCTAGAAATATCCAAAAGCTACATTTCTGTTTTCAGTGTAGGCAAATTGAATTCTGTCCAAGACTGTGATGGGGAATTCTCCTGGTATCCATTCAACCACAGTGACACAGAAAAACAGAGAGACAATCACAGCGATACAGGCAGGAATGGATTAGGTAACAGTTAAAGGCATAGGCCTAAGCAGTATTATAGACTGATGAACACCCTGAAGAAAAGCCAACATGTAATTTCCATAGCTTGTTCTTCCCTTTATGACTGCCCTGTCAGTTTGAAAGGGTACCCAGTCCTCGAGCACTGACACAGGTCCCAGTGGTTTGTGAAGTATTGCTACTGAACAGCACTGTAGCATCCCATCACATGTGAGCAGGAAGGCTTAACTTACCTCATGTCCGGCGAGAAGTCGACCTGACAAGCGTAGCCTGCTACCATGTGACCTTTGAAAATTTTCTTCTTATTTAATCTGAATCTGTTCTGGGCTCCAAAGATTAAGATTTGGTTATCCATTGACTGGCATGCGAGCCACTTCCCTGTAAAACGCAGTAAGTGGCTATTTTAGAGGAAGATTTCACTAGTTTTTAAAGTTGATTTTACATATATTAGCTTTCATTACTTTTGTGCTCAAGTGCTTTCTAATAGCAGAAAAGCAATTCCTCTGGCACCGGAAGAGCGCTCCAGTCAGGCACTGGGCAAGAGGCATTTTTACCTACAGCACTGGACCCCACTCCCGTGTTCCCATTGTCTCCGAGAACTCCTCACATGGAGTGTCAAACAGGGCTGTAAAACTGCTTTAAAAACCCTAGTATAGGAAAATCACTAAAATGTTCTCATTTTGAAGAATCAGACCAAAATTTCCTATTCCCTTGAAAGAAAAGTTCTTATTAAATGATTTATTGAACCTGATTTGTGTTGGAAGGAAAATTATTAAAAACTAACACACAAAAAACAACTATCAGAAATTGATGTGGGAGTGTCATATATCAATCTGTTGATTTCATTGGCTGAGCAATAAAGAAACTGCTGGTCCTGATAGGTTAAAAGATAGGTGGGCGGAATAAACAGGATAGGATGCCGGGCGGAAGAGGAAGTGAGGTCAGACTCTGCTCTGCTCCCGGAGAGACCCGACAGCTCTGCTGGAGCAGAGACGCCATGCTCAGCTCTCCCAGGCAGCTGCAACCCACGATGGACTTAGGCTAGAATCTTCCCGGTAAGCGCACCTTGGGGTGCTTACATCATTAGAAATGGGCTAGTCCAGATGCGAGAATTAGCCTGTAAGGGCTAGAGTTCATGGGCCAAGCAGTTCTTTAAACGAATACAGTTTGTGTGTTGTTATTTCGGGCATGAGCTAGCCAAGTGGCCGGGGTGTTGGGGACGCAGCCCTGCCGCTCCTAATTCAACAAGAAATCCTTAATGTTAACTGTAAATCACTGACTCTTTTATTTTTTTCAAAACAAGAGAGTGGGTGAGGTGATTCACATATGAAAACCAGTAATTACTCCTGCTACTGAAAAGGTTTCCTTACACAAGTACGGCAACATCCTGATTCCCTGCACAGAGTTCTCCAGTTCCTATGAATCCAGCAATTACTCTGTGTCTTAGAAGCTCATTTTAGAACGCATTCTGTGTTCTAACTCACCATTTGGAGACAAAGTCACTGCAGGCATCGAGTGCATGCTGGGCTCTGCTATGTACTTAAAATCCACAGGGATATCCCTAAAAATTGAAAATAGCATACATGTTAGAATGAGTAATTCACCAAAGCACATTTAGAAGAATTACCCAAATGTACCCAAATACAAGCAACTTGCTTTTCATTGAACTGCCAGGATGGAGTTTATTATGAAAAAGCTTTTATTTTACAAATGGCTTTCCATGAAAATTACAATGCTGTCAGTAGTTCTAGTTTCTAGTTATGAGACTTAACCTTTGGCCCTTATTACTAAATATCCCTCAGTGATGAACCCATCTTAAAAGGTACCACGGGAGGCAGAAGAGGGTGTCTGAGCAAGCCTGTGAGGAGCGTTTTCATCCGCCAGCCGACCTCACCTCGTTACCTCGTGAGCAGGTGGGAGCGAGTGTGGGGGCAGAGAGAGCTGTAGGGACCCGTGTGCTACCTTCATCCACCCAGAAAAATGACCCAGGCCGCAGAGATTAAGTGCTTGGTACCAAGCTTCTTCAGTTTACATGTAAAGTATTTTTAAAGTGTACAGTCCAGGACAAAAAGCAGAGTACAGAACAGTGAAAACCTCATCTGATAAAAATGCCTCAATATAAAACAAAATTCTGAAGTATTCACTTAAATTGAGAACCAAATTGTACTAAGTACCTTTTCGTTTTCATTTTTTTTTTAATAAAAATTACTTGGAAATTCTGAAAGGGGTCTGGACACGGTGGAGCAAACGGACCGGGACGTGGAATCTGACGAGCAGCATGGGGAGAAGAGAGAGCGCAGGCTCAGTGTACGGCTCAATACTGCCGATACTCTGCTTAACTGGAAAATAAGCACACTTCACTTCATGTATGGATTTCTCTCTCATTTACCCAACATCCAGAAGGAACAGATGACCAGAGGAAAAGGCTCTCCTGTAACCACGGAAGGACGGGAAGCGACTTTCAGAATGATCCTCCAAGTTTTTAAAGACAATTCATGTCCCCCACCTTTGTATTTATCACTAGTATGTAGTGACTTTTATAAGATGGACTGAAAGAGCACTTTCTAAATTAATCAACCATATTTTAGGTCCACATCTTTATTAAACACAGCAAAAGTACTCATGCCCTGTTTCAGGGACTCCAGGTACAATCAGCTCTAGAGCAGCGGCTCCCAAGGGTCAGAGTCAAGTGACCCTTCACAGGGCCGCTTATCAGATATTTACATTATGATTCATATCAGCGGCAGAATTGCAGTGATTTTATGGTTGGGTCAGCACCACATGAGGAGCTGGGTTAAAGGGTCACAGCATTAGGAAGGTTGAGAGCCACTGCTCAAGAACAGAACTGAATCTATACTACCCTTGGAACTTCATATTTCTGCAAAAATTCCTGCTAGGCATAGTTAAATGTCATAAACACAGAATCACTTTCCTACTAGATACTGTGACTCAACTGTAACAAAGATGGAGCTGATTTCAGATCATCTGGTTTGGAAATGAATGGATCAATACAGCTAACAAGTCTGGCATTTTAAAACTAAAAGATAAACAGCAATACAAAACATTTTACCAAAATAAATACTTTTCATTAAAGACAAAAACAAAACTGCTGTGCCTACTATCAGGCTTTCAACTGATTCTCAGGCCACAGTTGCTGGTATCTACCGTACCCCAATTCTCCTTCTCAAGGACATTAGCGGTTGTTTGTATAGCACTGTGAAAGAAAGCCCAGCTTCCTTTGGTTGTTTTCTTTTAGGTCTTTATTTTTATGTGTGTGGGCGTCTTGTCTGCATGTATGTATCAGCACCACATGTGTGCTTGGTGCCTATGGAAGACAGAAGAGGGCATCCAATCCCCTGGATCTAGATGCAGACTATTCTGAGCTGCCATGTAGGCGGTGGGAATTGAACCTGGGTCCTCTGGAAGAGCAGCTGGTGCTCTCAACCACTGACCCATCCATCTGGTTCTTATCCTCTATTATGGTGCTGTTCTACAATGAGGTGGAGGACATGTAAGTTTGGGAAAATGCCTCTTGTATAGAAAGCCCCAGTGCAGGGAACTTCCTGCGCCTGGGCTCAGTCCTGCTGTGAGCTTAAGGCCCTTTCTCCTGTGCTAGCGCCAGAATCCCCTGCGATTACTGCAGCAGAGGCTGCAGGAGATCCCGAGTTGTTTGCTCTCTGTAGGCAGATGCAAGTTACTCCTCTCCGCAAGTCTCCCCAGTCACTCTCCTAGCCACAGAGCCACAAATCCAAGTTCTGGAATCAGTCTGACCTGTCGTTTGAGTTTTCACGTCCTGTACCACCTTAGGTAGATCACTTAAACTATCTTAGTGTCCTTATACAGAAGGAAGGAGAAAAAGGCTCCTACCCCACATAAACACACCTATCTCATGAGATGGCTTTGCACATGAAAGAGGTTGTATGACATGCATATCCTAGTGACTGACATAGGAAGCGCTAGCTCCGCATCTTCATTGTCATTAATGATAATAACATTAATATATAGTCAATATGATAACAGGTGGTACCACACACACACATGCAGCACGGCATCACTGGCAACAAGAGAGCAGTGTGCCTTTCAGCAGAGTTCTCCTAGGAGTCCAGAGGGAAACAAGATCCTAACATGGCCACCTTAAGTTAATCAAAGCATTTTGAGAAAATACAAGTACCCAAAGCCCTCTAACTGGGTCAGCACCTCAATATTAACCACCTTCTTACACTACTCTGCTTTCAGTGATGGAGCTGGAACAGCATCTAGAGATACAAATGTCTGATTTTGTATCTGTTATTATTGTTATTAAATGTTTGTTTAAGCAAAATCAAACCACTGACATCTCTCTGTCTATCACACACACACACACACACACACACACACACACACACACACACACACACAGTTTGGTATCAGGCTGGGGAGACTGTTACTAAGAGTGTTTGCTGTACAATGTGAGGACCTGAGTTCAAATCCCCAGCACCCATGTAATACAAGGCGTGACTGAGAGGAAGACAACCTGGCATCCTTCTCCGACCTCTGCACACAAGTGGACAGGATGTGCAAGTGCGCACACACCATGTGCATCTGCCCCAAACCAAGCCAAACCATCCAAACAAAAACACTGGTGTTTACATCATATTTTCTGTAGAAAACAGCCTCCCTCCTCCTTTCTTTCACTGTGGGTGTTACACTCTCCCACTGAGAGCTAAATCTCTTAAAAAGCACCATTTTGGATGACAGACTTTAGCTTCAAACCATGACCCCTAAGGATGAAGCTGAAGGTTAAGATTAGATACAAAGTAGTCAACCCTTGGGGGTAATCTTGAAGGATATACTGCTGGTGTGCAAGTTGCATTAAATCTGAAATTACCTCGATTGTCTTAACAATGCCGAGGGCCTACTCAGCCCACTCAGGTTTCCATGGGAGTCAGTCTGAACAGGAAACCCTGGCTGGGGCTCAAGGCTGCTGGCTTTCTCTTAAATGACAACTTCTTGGGGTGGGTGGGAAGGTGCACTTTTGAGTCCTTGCAAGGCTGTGGTCTCCACTGAGCTGTGCTTTGTGTCTATAAAGACAAGCCAGGTTCCACCCAAGGACTTTCTTATTAAAAGAAAGATTACCACTTACTTATTTGCAACTAAATCATAAAGCAATCATAATACTTAATGAAATCAGCTTAAGTATTTTTTTTTACTTAAGACAAACTTTTTTTTTTTTTGGATAAAAGGAAAAAGTATTCAATACATTCTGATTATATTCAATAAGCCAAAGGCCTGTTTAAAGCTGATGAAAGGGGGCAACTTACAGCATGAATGATTACATAGCAGGCGGTAAAGCTCGGGTTTCTTCGGAGGCCAGGATATTATGTGTGACCCTCACATCATACACCTGCTTGTCATTCTGCAAAGACCAGTACGCTACCTAATAAAGAGTGTGAGGGCCAGCGAGAAGACCTGGCAGGAAAGGCTGCTGTGCAAGCCTGAGTGTGAGCTCTAGACCCACCAGGGAAGAAGCACTGCCTCCGCAGAGCTGCCCTTGACCTCCAATGGATGCAGGGAAACAAAGCCAACACTCACACACACACACACACACACACGAAATAAGAAATAAAACGAAAAAAGAATGTGTAAAGCCATGCTAAGACAGTTATCACGACCACAAAACCGGCAGTTCAAATCCATGCACTTTGAAGGATTCTCCAAAGACTGTGAAGGACAGTATGTTTAGATTTCAATTTCCAAATTGTGGGCACTTAAATAATCAAATCACTTTGGATGGAAAAATAAGCAAATAGCTGCATATTATCAGGCTTTGACTTTGGCTATAAATTTTATTTTTTTTAATGTATTTATTTGTTTTATGAAAGTCAGACATTTTACCGATGGAAACTCACCATTCCCAAACTCTTAGGCTCTTATCGTCAGACGTACTCACAAATCTTCGATTCTCATCAACAAACACAATGGTGTTGACAGCTCCCAAATGCCGGTCATACTCCTGGACAATCTCTCCGCTGCGGATGTCCCACTGCGCAGCGAGAGCAGAGAAGGTACAGACAGGTGAGGACTTGTAACAACAGCAGACTATACTTGGGAACCTAAAGACTCTAGTGCCCCATGTTCATGAACTGACTGCTCCCTTCTAAGCACATGCGAGGACCCTCAAAGTAGCAAGCATCAGTGGTGGATGCTCTGTTCTCTTCATCGGTCCTAACAGATACACTAGAGAGAGGTGTACCTACCTGCACGATCTTTTTGTCAGACATCCCAGCCACAAAGAGATTTTGCTTGTCTTCATCAGGATTGAACTTGACACAATAGGGTACTTTTCGGTTTGTAAATCTTGATATACACTGCCCTAAACCAAAGAGTCAAATTAAACAAGAAAAATAAATTTCACTCCTAAAGGATGACAATGGTGTGAAGATCTACTTAGAAGTCATGACGTACTGAGTTTTGAGGAAGGGCAGCTTGCTTGCTTAAAACCCCTACAATGGTAGTTTTCATAGATTTTTAATGGTTAAAATTTCTTTTTTCAGGAATTGGGGACATGGCTCAATCGGTAAAAATACTTTCTGTGCAAGTGTAAGCGCTTGAGTTTTGATCACCAGCATCCTGTAAAGGGGCAGGCACGGCTCTGCACCTCTGTAAACCCAACACTGGGAGGCAAGAATACATGGATCCTGGGAGCTTGCCGGCCAGCCATTGCGGCAAAACTGGTCAGCCCTCAGTTCAATTGAAAGAAATCAAAGAAATAAGGTGAACACACACATACATACACACACACACACACACACACACACGCATGCATGCACACACACACTAGCATATACAATTTTCCCCAAAGTAATGCACCACTAGTTACAGAGATAGATCTAATTACATCAATGCATGGACTATTATGAGCAGCAGAAAACATTAAGGTATAAGCCAGGAGAGTGTGTATCAGATGTGAAGTTGGGTGAAGAGTTAGAAATGAAGAGAGATTACGGTGTGATCCTATCTACAAGGTTAAGAACAGGCATGGGGCCTGTGGTGACAGAAGCTCTGTGGTTGCTGGAAGTGGGTGCACACTAGGAAGGGGCATAAGACTTCACCGCACGCTGCAGTGTTCTATGTCTTGCTCTTGACGTGTCTAAAACAAATTTGCACAAGTTTATTATTTTAAAAAATTGCTGAACACCTGTGCACTAAACACTTCACGTGTATCTTAATTTTTTTTATCCTTTAACTCTTTATTTATTTATTTATTTATTTATTAAAGATTTCTGTCTCTTCCCCACCGCCGCCTCCCCTTTCCCTCCCCCTTCCCCAATCAAGTCCCCCTCTCTCGTCAGCCCAAAGAGCAATCAGGGTTCCCTGCCCTGTGTATCTTAATTTTTAAGAGCTGTAGGATGGTTGCCTTTTAGCCGTGAGGTCACTAGCTCAGTCTACACACTGACGCGAGGGTGGAGCCCAGGCAGGAGCAGCTCCAGAGGATGGCAATGTGTAGTCAGAACTGAGAACCACCGACAAGCAAGGTGAGGAACCTGGGCTGGAGTCAGACCTTGGATTGAACCAATTCTGCCACTTACTCGACCTGCTTCGGAGAAGCCTATGTTGATGGGCAGTTCCTCACCTGCAATGCAAGACTAGCACATACCTCGTAGGGGCGTGCTAAAGTCAAATTACAGATACCAGCACATGCTCAGCACAGTCAGTGTCCAGTAAGCATTATTTCTTATGATTAACTTGGCAAAAACCACAGTTTTTTTTTTTTTTTTTTTTTTGGTTTGTTTGTTTGTTAAATTTTCAGACTGGGTCATGCTCTGTAGCCCAGGCTGGTCTCTAACTCAAGGTCTTCCAGCCTTAGCCTCCTGAATGCTGGGATTGTAGCTATGCACCTTCATTCCTGATTCTACAAGATGTTTCCTAGTAATACACAATTACACCACCACAAAATACTGACATAATTAATATCACTGTATTAAGTAAAACCGGCCCATATGAGTTCAGATCTACATTATTAATTTGGGCAATTAAGTTAAATTTGCTTCTGATCTATGCAACGCCTTTACTAGGAGATGTGGGGGAATAAGGAGATCATTAGACAGTGGACAGACGGTTTGTGTTTGTCCATCAACATGTCTGCAGGCGAGGATAACGCCTCCCAGGGAAAGCACCGGTTATACAGACAAGCGTCAATCTACACACACACTTGTGCTATCAGCTGACTTCTCAATAACAAGAAGCAGCAGCTGGAGAAGGCACCATTTCACCAGAGGGCCAGTCGTCCGAGTCCACGGACTGTTCGCTCAGGAGAGTAAGCTGTGCACACTTACCCGTCTCGGTGTCCCAGAGCTTCAGGTACCGGTCATAGGCCGCGCTGAGGAACTGGGTGCCTGCGGTGTTGAAGCAGATGTCTCTCACAGCCTTACTGTGACCTAGAAGCAGAGCCACAGAAGCTGTGGTGAGATCAGTGCTCCCGGCAGAAGCACCACCGAGGAGCACGAGGCAGTGACCTCATGGAAGCTGCCAGCCTGCACCCCAGCCCCGTCTGCGCACACAGGCTCTGGGGTGACAGTTTGTCTTCCTTCACGAGGCTCTGCAGGTGGTTCTCACAGGTTACATTTTGCTAAGAACTCAGGGGAAAGGTGCAATTTTTAAAAATTTGTCGTGGCATCTTTTAATATGCAGTGCACACACTGACGACTAACCAGCCAAGAATTTATTGAGATCTAAAGTTCTAATTACTGCCAGTGACAGAAATAGCTGAGATTTTGGGGGGGGGGTCCCTTCCATATTGCTCACCATGTTAGAAGTAAAAACAAAGTGTTCCAAACCTCAAGTGCAGGAGATTGCAGCCCTTATCCAGTAATTGCCTATTTCTGATATCACATTACTTAATTCCATAAAAATTGATTCAAAACCATGATGTTACCTCTATTTCTTAAAAGATGTTATCCTGGCACTAAATTCATTTCAGGGCCCTAATTACGCTTTCCCTGGACGTCAAACCTTGCCAGACAAATGAATCTTTTCAAAGTTTTTGAGAGAACTAAGATGTCGTTAAACAAAAGCAGAAACATGCCCGTTTCTCACTGTGACCAAGACACAAATGATTTCACACAATGTACGAGACTCAAACTGTCACCTGAGGGCTGCCCCCCAGAACCACCCCTTCCACAGAACTCCAGCTAGGCGGGTGCAGCGGCAGCGCCATGGCAACAAGCAAGTGTGAGCATGGCAAGAGCAGTCCTCCCCCCCCCCCCCTGCAGAGGGGCTGTCTGTAGAGAATCCCAGTTCCCCCCTGAATTCTGGCAGTATGGGTGAGGCAGAGGAGAGGAAACCCGCTGCATCTGAGGGGCATTTTATTCCCCTGGACACAAGTGACGGTTTCCCTCTAAGTCCTGGGTGCTGGCGCGGTGTCTCGGTATCTGTTTGCACAGAGAGCCCACACCGTAGCAGAGCATGGGAGAACAGACTCCCACTTTAATCTAAAAACAGAGCCACTGTGGCCCACAGCACTTCAGTGTGGTACAGTTAAATCTGGAAAAAGTAACAAGAGGCCACAAGGACAGAAGAGTTTGTCAGGCTCTGCTGGCACAGCCTGGCCTCCCTTTGGTCCGCTTCTCATCCTCAAGTCCACTGTTCCTTATGCTTCAGCTGCGAGCTCCCAACATCCTTCTAAAGCTATGGCTACTGCGTACTGGACATCTTCACAGCTGCTCGGACTCACAGTCCCAAACCTTGCGTTCCCTTCCTTGCTGAATGGCCAGCCGGGAGGTGTCTAAGGTCCCCGCCGTCTGTCACTCATATCCTGTTGCTGAATCTTATTAAATTCTTCCTTCTGACTCTGTGCTTTAGTTTAAACTCTCGCCGTTTTGAAGAGAGACTAATAAAATAAGTGTATAAATTTATTTTCTTACTTCTAGGCTTGCCTATCAAAGTCTACTCCAGATTGCCACATCATCTCTGTATAGTTCCAATCGCATTACTTTCCAGAAAGGGCTGTCCAATGGCTCTTCCCTGCCGTTAGGATTCAGTCTCCTTCACTGTTAGCTCAGCTGGTTCTCCACAGCCCGGTCCGCTTCCACTTTTATCCACTCTGTCCCTCTGCTGTACCCTGGAACAGTTACCAAACGTGCTCCCACACAGTGCAGAACACGTCCTCATACCAGTTTTGCTTCTGCCCCTCTCACTTCCTAGTCCTCTCTGCCTACCTAAGAGTTTGCTCCTTCATGACTCAGCTCAGTAGACCTGAGAATGTTTTCCTTCACGTCAGGGCAGTAAAATTTCTGCTACTGATGTTATCTCTCTTGCAAAAGCTTTCCTAAACAGATTTATAGACAGGGAGAAAAAGAAATATTACCAATAAATGTTCTTAGACAGCGCCGGTCTCCATAAACTTCCCATAGCTGGAGAAAATAAAAAACACATGAAAATGTAAATATTTTCTATACGATGTTAGAAATTGAACCCATGACCTCATGTACTCTAAGCCACTAGCCCTGGGGATATCAGTCTTAATGCAAGTTTTTATCAATAACAACAGTCCTGTGCTAGCTATGTGTGTATATACATCTTTTGTAGGCACAATGGATTTAATTACTAAATATTGACTAGTTTGCCATTTTGAGTTATACTTTTGGGATACACACACACTTTATACTTGAAGAGGTATTTACATCAAAGTATCAAGAGGATTTAGCTATACATGGAGTTTATCTGGGTATTTTTATTTTCTTACCTTTTTTGTACGTATTTTTCTGTGAAGAACAGCTCTTACTTTTGTAACAAACTAATTGTAAAGGAATTATGTGTTATAAGAACTGCTGTTATGTACCATTTTCATACTCAAGTATTTAAAAAGTACTATTCTGAAATAACATATAGAATCTATATGAAAATATTATCTATGGCTCATAATCCTCATCATATCTAAAGCAGAGAAATACAAAGACTTCAAAACTAGCATCACTCTTGTCTCCCTCAATTCCCCAATGCTGCTAGTGCTCTAAGATCGGAAGCATTTTCTGGTCCCCCAATGCCAACCAGACAGAAGCCTCAGGTCCTGAACATGGCCGACAAGGACCTCTGGGACCTGCTCCCTTGCTTGGGGCAGGAATTCTTTTTTCCTCGTCTATTTTATGCTTGGGCAACCACAACCCTGCTGTAGGTTTCAGAGTTCATCATGCTGACTCCTTCTATTCATTTTCCCCAAGCAGACTCAACTCTCCCTGGCCCCTCCATTCCTGGCCTTCCTGCTCAGGCATGCTTCCACTGAAGCTGGAATGTGCGCCTGTGCCTGCCTGCGTCACGGTTACTTACATCCGTGAGACAGCCAGGGCTTTCAAACCTTCTATATTATAATCCCCCTGCATATCATAGGTACCTACTAAATGCCTACAGGTGTGGGCTACATTCAATTTTGCTTTGTTTCTTGATCCAAGGGAAGATCATAATCTCAATGAAAGTTAAAGAAAATTAGGAGTTTTCTGAGTAACTGCTTTAGTCAGAGACAAAGCGTTTCTATTACAGACAAATGTCTAAATGACTGCTCCCAACAAATGCAGCGACTTTATATACTGGTAATACTTATCACTGTTTAAAAAGGATAAATAAAGCCTTAACAATTTGACTCTCCAAGCTACAAGAATACTACAGGGCTGGGATTTACTGAACCACCACAATGATCCACAGAGACACCAACTATTCTTTAAACCCTAAGGTTTCAAAGACGTTCCCTTTATATTCGAGTCGACAAGAGCGGCAGCTTGTTGTTCCCGCCATGTACTCTACAGCAGGGAAGAGGCTAAGATGGACGCCCGAGAACAGGGCGGGAGAGGCTAGGGCGGTGCTTCTAGCTGGTGTCCGGGTGGTCGGGAGAAAAGGATAAATTACACCGTCTACTCTCTGGACATAAGGTTTCCATTGCAGCCTTTCTTTCCTCAGTCAGGCTGAGGAACAAACTCAGTTACATGTCCATAACCTCGATAAAAAATGCATTATTCCTGATTCAATATTTATGTGCCCAGTGCCAAAGTGATTGGATTACATCCTAATCAGCTGTCTGAGCTTTAAAAAGAGCCTAGCCAATTGGACCACAGAGCCATGTCTGACTCTACAAGTTTGGAAGCAGGCCATAAACAGCTACATACATAGGGCTTAACAGAAAACAATTAGATTCTAATTGCCTAACAATCCCAATTTATTTCTGATTACTCAGACAGACCTCCCCAAAGTTCTGGCTCTGCAGCATTCCCACTGGGTTCCTGAAAACTCACCTTAATTTTACAGTCCATGGAGCAAGACAGCAACAAATGTCCAGAAAGAGGAAACAGCCTGACCGCACTGACACCCTGGAAAAGAGACCTCATTACTGCCCTGAAGCATTCAAAGAGACAGGATAGTGCAAGCAACCTACTTTGTTATTTTTCTTTATTCCAAACATCATGTTCCGGAATAGCCTTTATCAGTGTTCCAAGAGGCCCTATCTCGACACTAAATTATTGAGGTCTTTTTATTTTAAACTTTAAATTTCACTTCCTTATGGTGAGCCAGTCAAAACTGCTACCTGCCCCACTTCTTGCCCTTCTTCTCTGAGGCTCCTTGCTCTCGGCAAAGCTCTGGAAACCGACAGCTGGAACCCTGCAGCTGACAAACAGTATCAGCCTCTAGAGTGTGCGAATATCCCACTTTGTGTTGTTCTAAAATAATTTAAATAAAATAATTTAAAATACAAACATTGCCTTGGATTAGGAAGCAAGGAGCACCTCTGGTCTGGTGCGGAGTCACTGGGGCTAAGCAGCAGACTCGCTGCCATCTGCCCTTCACTCACCGTGTGGTGCCAAGAGGAGGCAGATGGCACAGGAAGCTGGGGGACGGAACAAGCAACAGGGTGGAGGATGGACACTGACCCACAGAGCTCACGTCACGAGCAACCTGGATGGCCTTGAAGACCGCTGGGTGGCCAATCCATGGAGAACTCTGCCAAGCCAATCTCACATTGACCCTGAGTTTGAGGCTCCTGTCCTGACTTTCCTGACCGACAGCTGAAGTTCCACATTGGCTTCCCTTTGTGTTTTATTGTGGGAACACTCAGTCGCCTTACCTTTGTGTGTCCAGACCACACGTGAATTTGTTTTTTGGGAAGGTAACATTTTTCAGGTGGCACAGACGACCGTAGATTAACACCAACATCCTGAGGTATGTGAAGGTAGGACCTGCCTTGATAGTCATACATTTCTTTAACTAAAACAAAAAAAGTCAAAAGACAGCCATAAATAAACGTAAGTCATAGTCATGCAATCTGTACTCTTAAAGCAGTAGCAAATGCCAAGATCTAGCATTCTACTGAGACAGAGGGAATGCCAGGCGGATGACGGTAAACACTAAGATCATGGGTTCCACGCGGATGACGGTAAACACTAAGATCATGGGTTGGCGAAATCAAGCTCCTGTATTCCCAGCTATCATTACCATGAAAGACAGTGTTTTAGTTTCTAGACACCCAGGAGGTATGAGACCTCTAATAAGATCTATAGCTCTCTCGCTTGGCTACACATTGCAGTAACAGAGACTTCACGGCAACACAATCACCACGAGGGATTGAAAGATAACCCTTAGGTCTTCAGAGTCACTGTTAAAGAACTGGAGTGAAACAAGCCAAGGCGAAGCCAACAGAGAACAAGTGTTAGCTCTCCGTTCTCCACCTTCCCACTTTACCATCTGCTTCTGTTCTATCTGCCTTTCTCCATTTTCACAGCAAACTTTACAAGAAAAGTTACATGGGCGGCTTAGACCACTCATGGCCTGTTGTAATCTAAATTTATAACCACATGCATAAGGAGGGAAGCTGGGATGTATCCAGCGGAGCCTCCTGAGCTGTACTGTACCACTCCAGCAGGTCCACTGCAGCCTGGGACATACCACATGTGCGCTCTGCACTGGGCATGCTGTCTCCTCTGTAACATCACTGCGGCTGAAAGGACTCTCGGCTCCGATTTAACACTATCATACGCTATCATTGCAGTGCTTTTACTGTACGAAGCTTTGTGCGATTCTAGACACACAATAGTTTAATTTGGAAAACAAAGGTTTTCATTTTCCCTATGATCATCCTTACCGTATACGCATCCAAATTAGTATACCTTTGGACCATGTTTGTTTGGTTTAAAAAGCTGCTTTTTCAGTGGTTGGTTTGAGCTTCACTGGAAATTACTAAGTGACTTCTGGCTTAGAATTAGGACAGAATTTCAAATAATCTCTGCAATGGTCCTAAATATTCGCCTGTCATTTTGTACTAGGTATTCATGCAAAGTGGTGTTCTCAGCATTGATGACTATAAAGTTAAATATTGACCAAGTCTGAAAAACATTAAAATGCGTTCTACCTCCTGCAGTATCATTCAACCAAGATTTATTTCTTATGTAAAAATAAAGGAGAACATTGATTTCATTACTGTGAAAACTTGTTTTCATCTTAGAAGAATGGTAAAATTTATATATCAAAATTTAAAATTTTCTGTAATGATCAGGTAAATGTTTCCTTTGTACGGCAGTCTCACATAACGACTGTACACGCCACGGGTCACAGAGGGAGTTCTCAGGGGAAAAGGAGACAGGAGTGGAACCAAATTTAAGTAGCCAACTTAAATTACAGAGTGTACCTACAGAAGCTGGCAGCAAGCCTGGCACAGGCTAGGTGCTCAACAGTGCTGCCAGGCACTGCTTACAGTGGTCGTGGGATAAGCACACAGCACTGCCAGACTCCTTAGACATAAAACCCAAGTTTGTGAAGCTAAAAGTGGCCTCCTGAACCCTAAGCACTTGGTGTGGCAAAGCAGCATGGCCAGGACTGAATCATTCTCTAAGCCGGTCACCATTATGGAATTCCCCAACTGAAACTAATTCTTAATGAACAGATACATTAGGGTACATTCATAAGTCTAGTAATCTCACATCTACTCCTATGGAAAACAATTTGTTCTATGACAGTGATGATACAGGGACACTTATTTGGCTTGGGTTAAACAACTGATGCACCTAAGGCATTATTTTAGGAAAAAACTGACGGACCATTCAAGTTTCTTCTTTACTCTTTTTTAAAATACCCACTGATACTTACACAAAAATTATCTTTGCTTATCTTTAATCATACTACATTTCCTCTTTCATTCATATAAAGTCTATGTTAATTTCTGTAGGATGCAAATTATTCTTAATATAATAGTCACATAATAGCAGCCAACAGTGAGAAGAACTGGCATTATACGGAACAAAAATAAACACAGTAGATTTTCATGACAGTACAGACGTGAGAACTTCATTACCATGTAAGATTGTCTTCTCCTCCCCAGGTTTCTCCTCTTCCTGTTTGCCTTTCTTCTGCCTCTTCGCTGTGATTTCATCCAATTCCTTTTGTTCTTCCTAAGGAAACAAAGATGAGAACTTTCGAATGAATGCCTGAATATGACTGTTGGTCATACACTCCCTATAAGGAGGTTTACAAATACTTCTAGGATAGAGATGGATTACCTCTTATACCGATCACAAGCTGACATTAGACACATGCCTAGCAATATTTTTAAACTGATTTTATACACATGCACATGTAAAGTTCACACTTCTGGAACACCCAGAAATAAATTTAATGTGTTATGCTAATTATACAAATGAAAAGCCAAGCCATCAGAAAATCTGGTATCAGAGGTCATTGAGCTTAAGACAGGGTTGTTTGCAGCGAGTTGCTTTTACATCGTCATGAGGACATAAGCAACATTATAGATTTCAGATCAACTTTTTTGGGGAGAGCTGGGAAGAGGAAGACAGGCAAACAGCAAATCCTATCTACATAAACAAGTCAAGATAAGGCACCTAAAGTGAGCTGGAAGCATACCCATGCTACTAATTTATATACGGGCGTAAGCAACAGCCAGAATACCAATTCCTAAGGACAAGAGTTCCTTTATCTTGTCCATCACTATGCTCCAGAACCAAGAACAGAGCCCAGCTCTCAGAGACTGGGCTACGGGCTAATTTTATTAAAAACTGGTTCCATAATCTATGTTAGTCAAAAGAGCACCGGGGAAAATACAGCAGAAAAAAAAAAGGCAGATACAAATATTGTTGCAAAGAAAAGCAAAGAAATTTTATATTTTCTCAGTCAGCTAAGGCTGAGAAATTTTGATGAGTCATGGGTCCTCTAGGGAAATCTCACATTTACCAACACAGATATGATTGACAAAAACAGAGCACACACTGGAACTGACGCTGAAAACATCAATGCTTACTTCTGAAGGTTTGGCCACATCTTTTTCATCCACATATTTTGCCCACGGTCCCAAGAAACCATCAATATTAGATGCATCATTTTCTTTGAACTTTTTCCTCTTTTCTGTTTTCTTCTGACCAGTTTCAAATACAGTTAGACCTACATTAACAATAAACATCAACAGTAAGTGAGCAAGTCTATGTTCTTTAGAAATACCAGTATGTAAGATTTTACTTGGCTAAAGTAATTATGAGCAACCCAACCCAAAATCTGTCTGAAACTGCCATAGAGACCCACTCTTGCTGACAAGAGGAAATTCAGTATTTTGGGAAAAGATGTTGGGATGCTTTTCAAATTCTAACACTCTTTAAAGGACTTACAATGGTATCACGACTCTTTGGTTTCGCTTTTAGTTTCAGAGAGAAGTTTATCATCACTTAGCTTAAGAAGTGGAGAGAACAGCTCCTGAGGTCCCAGGCGGTAGGGGACCACCAGGTTGCTGGTCTTGGGCTTTTAAAGACTCATGACAGATCTGGGGAGAGTGATGTGTGGGGAAATTGGGAAGCTGGGGAGTTGCTGCTGGGTCCAAAAACCTTTTTTTTTCTTTTTGTTTTTTTTTCAAGACATAGTTTCTCTGTAGTTTTTGGAGCCTGTCTTGGAACTAGCTCTTGTAGACCAGGCAGGCCTCGAACTCAAGAGATCCACTTGGCTCAGCCTCCAGGGTGCTGGGATTAAAAGAGTGTGCCACCACCACCTGGCTCAGGCACCTTCTTAATAATAATAAAAAAAATCAATATTTTTTTTTCAGTTTTGTGTTGTTAATGATCCAGTATTGTTTCGTTTTGTTTTTGTTCTCATGTAGCCCAGGATAGCCTTAACTGGAATTATAAGTGTGCATCATGACGCCCAGCAACTCTAAAAACAAAAATAAACTTTGATTTATCATTTTAAAATGGAATTAAACTACCATAGACATTTAATGCTTTATTTTTATTTCATGGGTATACAACAATACAAATTAAACAATGCTTCATAGAATCTGGTATTCTTGGCCTCTAATGTCATCAATCTTAAACAGACTTACAAAAGATGATGCTTTTGATTTCATCAGTAGGTGAAGGCTGCATACTGTTTGTACCCACTAAACAGAAAGAAACGTTTGAACGTCATGGTCAAAAGCTGACTAAGAATCTAATTGTGTGTACACAGTGGAGTAAATGTCTAACTGAAAGAAAAAGGTCCATCTATATGAACTCAAAGCAGTTTCCATTGGGCTTTGTGTTACAACAAAGCAAATTAAAATTCGACTACAGTACTAATTATCCCGTACTAAGAAAGCAGCTTCCTAATATAGGGTTATCCTCATGCAATGAGCACATTTTGTAAATAAGATATCAATAGTCTGATGAACTTTGTACTAAGGTGTCATTTAGGTTATGATGTTTGTCATGCTTACTAAGTGAATACAAACATAAATATATTTTAAAAGACATTAAAAATCTGCTATCACAGCAATTTGTCAAAAATTATTTCAACAAACACCTAGTATAGAATTTTCCTGTTAAAAAGTAGCTTGACAGCTGAGAGGCCAGTTGCCAAGTTTACCTATGCATTAATTGTAATAGAACGATTTCTAGTGGTTGGCATGGTGCCAAGCACTTAAAATAACCAAAAAAGGTAAGTACTGTCATATTCCTGACAAGACGACACAACCAACGAGTGGCCGGCGTGAGCGGTGAACAGTAGCGGTTCTGAACTAGTGCTCTAACCCCTTCCGCTCTGCTACTTCGACCTTAAAAAAAAATCAGGAACTAAACAAAATACTAGTTTTCCCTACTGTTCGGTGACTGCAAGACACTCGTTATAATTACCTACTTCAAATATATTACCTTGATTCTTTTCAGCTTCTTCTACAGACCCGATGTATTTAGCGGATACTTGGTGGCTATCCAGTGAAGGGTCCAGTGCATAGCCTGAAAGCAGAAAGTGCAAATGGCCAACTCCCCTTTTATAGCTCGTTTACTGTAAGCACCCACTTCCTAGTTTCCTTTCCCTAAGGACCAGGCCTTCCTTTCTGAGCTCCACGTCCATTTCCAACCCTTCCCCCACAGGTCGGGCTGGATCACGAGAGACTAGAGCGAGCAGTATTTCACAGGGTGAATCTAGCAAACAGTCATTGCAGTACTAAGAGCTTTCCTAGCTGTGAACACATTCTCGCAGAGGTTAAATTACAGTGCCTTCTGTGTCCAGAAAGTTAGAAGCTATTTCCTTTTCCTTCTTGATAATGGACACTACCGTTAGAACATTACTTATTAAACCGAAAAGAAACAGGATAAGAAGTTATATATAAGCTACAGCTATTATTTGGAAGATATCCTTCTTAGTAAGGGCAGTTTCCAATCTTAAAACACTGCTTTTAAAAGCAATTCCTGACGTTCCTGGTGAGAGGAGTAAGGCTATCTGCTGGCATAGGAATACGACCCTTCACCCAGTAACACCGTACACAGTTGCATGTATTTGTGTTCTTCATTGGTCAAAGGGGACCAAAAAAATATGCACACTCAAATTAGAATTTTCTTGAGTGGATGCGTTATTACAAAAAATGTTTGATAAAAATTGGTCTTCCTAATAATCCAGCGTATTCATAAGGCCGAGCAAGATCATCAGGGTATGGCCTACAACCATGTCGGCAGCCATGAAAAAGCACCACTGCACTTCTGAAAGGGCACAGACTGGTGGATGGATTTAATATTTATTTTTAACTTTGCAGCTGAAGACTAAATTTCTTTGGGGAAATATAAAAAAGAATTGTTATGAAGTATAACTTTAAAACAGGCCAAGGATGTAGGAGTTCAAATCATCCTTACAATATACCAGAATAGAACCAACCATCTGGCTATTAGCTCATTTGCATACAGTTTTCTTCTTCCACCATTATAGTCAGAGGAGAGAGCTTGACATCTCAAGAGTGGTTTTGGAGTCGAATCTCTGAAACCACAGGCTCAAATGCCGCAAGTGACTTCAGGTTTTTAAGGGCATAAGGATAACATCAGTGTTATATCCATTTCAAGAATGACTACCAATTGGAAAAAAAGTAAACTCCATTGAAAACTCACAACGAAAAAGAAGCTTCAAGACCTACGAGAATACTAGAGAACTTCAATGTTTGTATAATAATTTATTTGAACTATGGGATAACAGAAGATGTTTTTGTAATCTTTGATATATAAAATGACTGTGAACACAGACTAACTGATGATCTGGGATCTCTTGTGAATAAGCTGGACTATTATGAAGACTGATTAGACCAAGCGTTTACTGTAGTAGTGAACTTGGGAAAACCAATGTGAGCGCGTTTGGGTAGACCTCTTTTCCTGGGTCCCATCAGACCATGGAAGACCACAGTACATGTGGTACATCAAGCATAAACTAAATGCACTATGGAGTAGAAATCTACCCCAGACATTCACTGAGATGGTAGGCCTGATACTGTTCTATATCCCAGTAGTGGCACTTCCTGTTTACTCAAGTAATATTGTTTCCCTTCTCAGATCTTTGATGGAGTTGAAGATTAGATAATTATAGTTACCTTCCTCATGATTTAGCCAAGCTTAATTTCAATACACTTCTTAGACTCCTTGAAATAGAAAGTTTAGTAAAACTTTTGTTATGTGTTCCTTGCTTAATATTGTTTATTGTTTTTAATTTTATATTTGGTATCTGTTCCTATTGTATATAGTTATATTGGGTTTGGATCCATCTTGTTTAAACAAAAGGGGGAGATGATGGGGAAACTCTTTTAACCAATCACAGCTAATTGGGATGTGGCGAACTGGACTAGGAAGAAAAACTGAGAGATCCAGGTGCACGCTCTCTCTGCACGGTCGGACCTCCCACTCTTATAGTGTGAGTTTCCCCTCTTTAACCATTAAAGTATAGCTGTTATTCTTGAGCTAGCCTGGTTTTTTATCGTACCGACCTAATTCCCTACACCTATCTGCTGTCTTAGTTTCCAGGCTCTTCCTCTATTGCAGCTGCACACCTTTTATGTCTTCAATGCTCTCACTAGCACAGTCTTTGACTTAATCCACTGCCTTCTCCACACAGAAGAAAACTTAATGCCCTCCCCGTTTTGAGACAGTGTTTCTCTCTATAGTGCTGGCTGTCCTGTCCTCACTCTGTAGACCAGGCTGCCCTTGAACTCAGAGAGATCCGCCTGCCTCTACTTCCCAAGTGCTGGGATTAAAGGCATGAACACACCACAATGGCTGTTTATTTTCAAACAAGTTCATTTCCAAACTAGGCAAACTTAATAGCTGTAAATGCTTATGCTTCCTATAAAGAAACTTGAAAAGTAGATGTTAATAAAAGCATAATTTATTATTTATTATTTTTAATCCTGCTTTACTTTAAGGAGACTAAACTATTTAAATTATTGAAATGGCCCCTTCTAAAATTTATGAAAACAAAAACTTTAAGTCTGTCTTAGTATAGGCTAGAATATATAAATTCCTAAGTTTTTGGGTTTTGTGTGTGTGTGTGTGTGTGTGTGTGTGCGCGGTGCACAAAGTGCTCTTAGCTAAGCCATATCCCCATCTCTCATGACTTAGTTTTTAGGGTGCACACATTACTGTAGGCAAAGGGTACGAAGTGAATTTGTAACCCTTTACTGATACTAGAAGTATCAACAAAATCTTCTAGGTGATTATAGCAGTGTGCAGTCTTTTTGTCATTTTCTTGTTTGTTTTTGAGGCAGGATCTCATGGAACCCAGGTTGGCCTACACTCACTGTGGGCCCAAGGATGACCTTGAACTGCAGATTCTTAGGCCCTGTACTTCTCGGAATATTAAGATTACAGGCACAAGTCACACCACGTCTAAGATGCGCTGCACTGGTGATTGAACCTAGGGCCTATAGGCTCAGCCAGTAACCTATCACCTGAGCTACATCCCCAGCTGGTGTCAGTTTTCACTGACTGCATCCCTGGCATGATGATACATAACCCAACAATATAGGACAAATCCTTTTCACAACTATTTCTGTAACCGCTTAATTTTAAAAAATTCTATTACTGAGAGAATGAAGTTATTTTATACTATGGCTTTGTTACTATTCTACTGGCCTTTAGTAACTAAGAGAAAATATTTAAGAAATAAGATTTGAGAAACAGAATAAAGTTAAGTAGTATATAAGATAATGAATACAATTTTTCATACTATATTTTTACTTATCAACTTAATAATCATCTGCATGTGATAGACATTTAATAACAAATGTTCATCTCCAAGTACAATAACAAGGAACATCCTAGTCTTAGGACCACAGACAATAGTATGAAAAAATTCATAGAGGATTAAAAATAAGAGTTCAATATTCAAAGTCACTTCCCACTCAGTATTTATAGCTGTGCATAAGAAGGTATACTACCTCTTTGGTGAAATCCAGATCCATAAACTTAAAAAGCCAGAAGACAAAATGAATGACGGCATACACTACTCATGCTTTCTGTAAAGCCGAACTACGACTGCTGAAGTTTTATCCCCACTTACCGTATGTAGCAAACGTTCTTCTCTGCTGTTCAAACATGAAGTCATTGATATGCGCCGGCTCGGCATATCCAGAAAGCATATTTCTAGGAGCAGCCATTTGCTGTGTTCTAAAGGGATTTTCTGGTCCAAACTGCAATGTTATAAGGAAGGGAGAGACAGTTATTGAAGTCACCATATAACGCATTTTCCACTCTAAACCATCAGGGACCATGCCAGCCTCACAGACCAGGGGAATGAGGCAATGATTGATTAGCCCCTGGGACAGGAGGAGAGCGCAGCTCCCAGAAGTTCACATGTGTCTATTTATTTCAAGAGTTAGATGTTGGCACTGCAGGAAGTCTAACCTGAAGGCACGTCTCTGGGTAACTGAGAATCACTATCCATTTTTCTAAATTGTGACTTGGGGTTTGGGGTGATCTTTTGTCAATGACTGCACTGGAAAACATTTTTTTTTCTTTTAAAAGCATGTTTTTTCACTAATTATGAGTTCCTCAAAGGTAGAGACTCAGAATCCTCTTCATTCGCCACCGTGCGTGGCAAACAGAAAAGACAGATATCACTAATCAAATAAAGATCAATTAGAATCCTAGTGGAGGCACAGGATGGGAAATAAACTAAAAATGAAGTATTTGAAAGAGTCCCCCAGAAGACACACCACAGATGTAAATAGAACTTCTCCACTCAGAGAATTAACATTCTCAAACAAAACAGTGGCACTGTGACCTATTGGTTTAAAAGGCTGGTGTTTCCAGAATGATTTTCCAAAGTCAGGCACTCTGCTCAGCTATACATACAGAAACCTACAGTGGGGTGCTATGCTTATCAACCCGCTAGAACCAAGGCTAGTCCAAGCCTGAGGCAATGCCTCGCTACCTTAAAACTTTCCCTACGCGCGCAACTGTAAAGTCTAACTGTAAAAGAGTTAAGAAAAGCCACAACCTGCAGTGTTAACCCCTACTCAGTCATGCTATTATAAAAGATCCTGGAATATCACACTCTGACACAAGTTTCACTCTGTAGCCCAAGATGCTCTGGAACTCTTGCCAATCTTTTCAAAGTTCTTACTTTTTGCTTGTTTTTATGAAGAGTCAAATGAGTGTTCACACTTAGGGAAGAATGAGTTTAATACTTTTCTCTTTATTATTCTTTTATTTGTTGCACAATATAGCCCAGGTTGACTTAGAACTTGCATGGAGCCCAACATTGACCTCAAATTAGCAATAATCCTGCCTCCATCTCCCGACTGCTGGGATTACCAGCACACACTATCACTCTCGGCACACAAAGGCATTTATCTGAACACTGGAACACTCAATTGATCCTGATGAAATATTTTGACATTAGAACATCAAGTTACTATCTTTAGAACCATCTTTTTCTATGATACATTTTCAAAGCCACAAATACAAATTCCTGCTTCTCCTTAACACTGTGTCTTCTCTATACACCATGCATGAAAAACTATGAATTTAGCTGTCAGATTATTTGTCTAGTATATTTTTTTGCATTAGAGGAAAATAAACCAACACAAGTTTGCCACAGAATGAAAACTTTCATTTCTGCTTAAAATACCCAAATTTTCAACCAAGTTTTAAATTGTACTCATTGCAAACTATAAAGAAAAATTATATGGACAACACAGGACTTTGTAGCCACATCTGCAGATCGGTAGAACCACAGGGAAGACAATGTAGTCGGCCGGAAGTTGCTGATAACTCCATTTACTCATGAAATTATTATAATGCACAGAAATAGCCATAAAATTAGAGATAATAAAATGATTAAGAGCTTGATTGGGGGAGGGGGAGGGAAAGGGGAGGCAGAGGTGGGGAAGACAGAAATCTTTAATAAAAAAAAATATAATTGTGACAACACAGATGAGCCTGGAGAATACTGTGTTAAATGAGATAAGCCTGAGCCAGAAAAATACATACTGTATATCAGTAATGTGTGAAACTGAAGAGTTGAGTATTATGTCAGGGTTCTCGAGAGGAACAGAACTTATAGAATGAACACACACACACACACACATGAATTATTAGGATGGCTTACAGGCTGTGGTCAAGCTAGTACAACAATGGCTTTCCATCAAAAGAAGGTCAAAGAATGAAAGAGTTGTCTCGACGTCACCAGTACGCACAACAATCCCACAAAAGTAGGCTCTAATGACAATGGAGGAATGGACTTGCCAGCCAGAGTGAGCACATATGATGTGGGAGTGTCATATCAATCTGTTGATTTCATTGGCTGAGCAATAAAGAAACTGCTGGCCCTGATAGGTTAAAAGATAGGTGGGCGGAATAAACAGAATAGAATTCTGGGCGGAAGAGGAAGTGAGGTCAGACTCTGCTCTGCTCCCGAAGAGACGCCATGCTCAGCTCTCCCGGGTAGACGCGCGATAGCTCTGCTCTCTGAGGCACACGCAATGAAGATGGACATAGGCTAGAATCTTCCTGGTAAGCGCACCTTGGGGTGCTTACACACATCATTAGAAATGGGCTAGTCCAGATGCAAGAATTGGCCTGTAAGGGCTAGAGTTCATGGGCCAAGCAGTTAAATGAATACAGTTTGTGTGTTGTTATTTCGGGCATGAGCTAGCCAAGGGGCTGGGGTGTTGGGGACGCAGCCCCGCCGCTTCATATTTCAACACACATACAGGAAAAGAGAGCAAGTTAAGAAAAGCAAAAAACCCTGACAGCCACTTGTGTTTTAGTTAATTCTGATGTAGTCAAGTTGGCATCCAAAAGCAGCCACCACACCAAAGAGAGCAGGATGGCAGAACTAAGTACCAAGGGGAGCAGGGTCTGAATAGGTGACTCACATCAGAGGTCAAGCACCCCATGGAGCTTTCTGAATGACAATGGCTTCTAAGAGAAGCAGCCTGAAGCCTCCAACCTCTGTGAGTGGTGCCGTATAGAGTGGGGGAGAAACATTTTTAATAAGAAGATGCTGGCATATCAGTCTCAGAGATCTGCTTATTACATGAAGAGGTTCTCGAGCTGGGCGGTGCTGGCGCATGCCTTTAACCCCAGCACTTAGGAGGCAGGGGCAGGCGAATCTCTGAGTTCAAGGCTAGCCTGGTCTGCAAAGCTAGTTCCAGGACAGCCAGGGCTATACAGAAAAACCCTGTCAAAAAAGCCAAAAACCAAACCAAAACCCAAAACCAACCAAACAAACAACATGCCCCACACACTGCCCAGAAAAAAAAGAAAAGGAAGAGGTTCTCAGAAGTCTTCAGGAGACTCAATCACTGTTATTAAGAAAATGCATACTGGTAAAAGTAGATTACATAACATCACAACTATAAGTATATATACACAAGGAAAACCCACATCACTAACTAATATAGCCACTGCTAAATTTTTATTAATACTCATGGTGTCATTAATGCACAAAATTTATAAACATATTTTAAAGTAAGAATTTATTAACTGAACTGTTTTCTACAAATCTGGAAAAGATCATGGCAGTTTTGTTGGCAGAATCACTTTGTGAGATGTAAGCGAAGTCTGACCACTCCTTATATACACTTCGCTGCTGCTGCTGCTGCTGCCAACCTTGGCGCAATCTTCTCGGAAGAGTGGGAAGCTGCAGTATTTGTAAAGCATTAATATTTAAGTAGTTCCTATTGTTAGATTTTTTTAAATAGCAACTAGCATTTGTTCTCTGGATTTAGATGTATATATATATTTCCCCTAAAAGCATGGCTAGTTTAGGGGTCTGGAATTCTTCCTGAGTCCGGTGAATTTAATACAATTTTAAAGAAACTAATAAATAATTTATCTCTAAGAACCTAAAAAGGGATTTATCTAGCTCAAGGCAGGAAGCTGCTGATATAAAACACTGTCCACTACATTTCAACTTCAGTCTATAATTTGAGGAAACAATTCTGTATTAATAGGCAGACCAGCAAGGAGAAGTTGTTGGTTGCAATGGAGGAATGGTATTTTACAAAATAAGCAATTTGGTTAACTTTTAGAATTAACAAAGTCATAGGGTGTATCATGCAGATTACACAGGGGCCTTCAAATGGCTTCAAGGTACTGATAGACAGTTAATAGAGATCTGAGCTCGAGTCCCACAGAACGCTACCTGACAGCTGTCTATCAGAGACTGGTTTCTGTTCTAGAAAATAATACTTACTTCATAGATTAAGTAAGGACAAAAGGAGCAAAAGTATATTAATATTTCTGTATATGAAAAAAATCAATGGTAGTTTTATCTCACCCATTAGTCTCTTTCTGCTTTTTTTATCGTTCAAGCCCTAACCAGACATCTTCTCTTAAAAATTCAATTTTCGCACCATGCATTAACTCCTGTATTCTTATAATACAATAAAGTAGAGATAACATAACATTTATTTTAACTGTGAGAAAACTAAGAACATCCAAGGTCTTACAAAAGCTAATAAATACATAGTCTCATTTCAAATTTCACCTTCTAAACCTAGACTGTACTGTCCACTTCAAATTTAAATTTCACAGAAATCTCTCTGCCCCCCCCCCCAAACTTGTGAACAACACATTAGAGGCTCAGGGACCATTCCAGTGTCTGTGTGGTTAAGAAAACACAGAACACACCCTCTGCCAAGCACTAGGTGGGGGGAGGGGTTATACACCGTTTCTACAACATACAGGGACTTGAACTGAATCTAGCAAAGTCCTCGGTGACACCTTCCTAGACCTGGTCAAGTGATTCAGATTCCAGTCATAAAACAGTTCACATTTGTTATAGCACACACAGATTACCACTTCCTTGGAATTATTAAAGATTCTAAATTTGTTTCCAAGCATCACTCCCTTTCTTAAACCATAACATATGTGGTTTGCCTAACATCAACACATTTACATGTTAGTGGCGATTCCTTAACACAAGGAAGGAAGGATGGATGGAAACAGTGAGTGGATAATTGGCTTGCCAATATTATCACAAAACTAATTCACATTTAGTCTTTTGATTGAAACTTTCGAAAATATAATTATATAGCAATACTGCAGTTAATAATAACTCAGAATTCAGAAAAACAGCAGATCTCATAGACAACAAACTGACATCAAAGCGGTACACACCACAATGCACTCACATTTTCTCATCCTCTGAATGCAAATGAGCACGACTTCACTGAGGCTCTTTTCATTTGCAAAACCATGAAGCACACATGAACAGCACTTTAATGGGCCGGCTGAGCGCTACTCACAGAGAGGAGACAGCTTCCAGAGTTCAGGAGGGCAGGACTAAGAGACAACAGAAGAAGGTGCAGCACACACAAGGACCTGAACAGATGTTGGTGTACTGTGCTTCGACAGAACAGCTGGAGCACTGTGGTGTCTGAGGCAGACACCATGGCACTGACTGTGCTACGCATCTCAAAGGCAACTGTTCCGATGCCATAGGAACCGAGACAGGTGAAGTATGACACAGCTCTGGCACGCTGATGTGTCTGTGTGCCATGCAAAGAAAGCTACTAAAAGGACCTCATTTAATACCAAGATACAAGAAGCTACAGCTCCCCATGTCTTCCTTTAAGATGTTTCTTCTTCTGTTTTTTTCAAGACAGGATTTCTCTGTGTAGCTTTGGAGCCTGTCCTGGCACTAGCCCTGTAGACCAGGCTGGCCTTGAACTCACGGAGATCCGCCTGCCTCTGCCTCCCAAGTGCTAAGATTAGAGGCGTGCGCCTTAAAGATCCTGCTATTCAAGTCTTTTTAGCAGGGGTAGAGGGCATACCTTACAAAAAGAAGTCAATCAAGTGCCTTTCCACTTTAATGTCTAAGGATATTACTTTTTAAAATAAGCTTTTCTTAATGGACATTGTTCAAAGACTCTGAGTGGACATGATGATCTTTCTTCGTCCTCCCCACTGTCTCTATTAGTATTTCTCACATTGCGAAAGGAGGAAGAGTCCCGCTGAGCAGTGTGATGAGACTGTGACACTGGAGAGGCATTTGGGACAGTTTCTGAATACACTGGGTATTAATGATAAACCTTATCACTGCTGAGGGAAGGCTATCAAGTGCACAGTGAAGACTTAGATATTTTCAGATTCCCTTTTTCAAAAGACAATTCCGTATGACCAGCCTTTTGCATGCAGGCAGATGTGCAGTCAGCAGACTTTTAGAAGAATTCTCATAAAAACTATTTAGGTTTTTGGAGACTAGAAGGATACGTTCTCTAAAACTCAGAGTAGCATAGTTGGATAAGAAAAGTTTTTAAGAATTCAACACCCACTTACCCTGCATTAATCTCTGCATTAATCGCAATACTCAATAGGCTTGCTGCTTACCTCGGGAGCAAACATGGTCTCATAGGTAGGATTATACTGAACTTCTTTGACAGCAGGGTCAAGGTGAACTCCAGTCTCCAAATCTTCCTAAAAGAAAGCCAAATGAATGTTACAAACTTGCTAAGTGAGTATATATTTTGTATATTACAGCGAAATCACGTCAGCATTGTGAACACCTAAATACTGACTTTATGACTATTACTTTAGATTCACAGCATTAATAATCATAACAAAGAGCAATGAAACATATATGTAATATACACAATTTTAGACATAAAATACATAATTTTTCAACATACTAACTTTATTAACTAAATAAGTTAATACTACCCAAACACTTAAACTAAGAAGATCTAGCTTTCCTGTGCCATCACCTTGTGTCAGCGCCAACACCCAGAGGCACTCTCTACTTCAGAACTCACTGGCCTCTGCAGCCTGGGAATCAGGTAGACCATCTTCCTACTACTTCCTATCCTCCGTTTCCAGTCCCTAGTCTCATCTCCAGCCTTATAGGAGACTGCCTGCAAGGTAGCCTGTCCGTCCTCTCTGCCTCTACTTCCTGGGGACTATGTTAAATGTGGCAGATCCAGTTTTCCTCACAGTGGACCCTCTCAGTCCCCATTTCTAGCCCAGGCTCATTCCTTCGGGTTAGTCCCCAATATCTAGAAACACCTTCTACCCAGGACTCCCAGAGGCCATCAGAAAGGGTCTCAGAAGCACCCCTACCAATCAACCCGCAGCTGCCATACTCTCCTCGAATCCAGAAAAGAAGAAATGGAACACCCACCTAGACTCCACTGAGAAGTCAGGTGTAATTCTAATAGCTCTGCCTTTACATTACATGGTCTTTTCCCCTTGCAGGTATTAACATTCTTTTTTTGTTCTGGACATCTGGAGTTTTATTATGTGCAGATATTAACACCTAGAATCACAATTATTCCAAACCCAGTTGCGTAGGCATCAGAGTAAACACACACACACACACACACACACACACACACACAAACCAGCCAGTACAACGTCTCCGCCAGAACCCAGCAACCCTATAGCAGCAGCCCTAAGAAACTCAACAGAGCTGAAGCACAAGACAAGGACCTCAGAATAGCTTTTATGAATATGTTAGAGGTCCTGAAAGACAATATGAAGAAATCGATTATTAAAATACATGAAAATACAACAAACATTGAATGAAATGAAGAAAGCACTACAAGACATGAAAGTAGAAACAGAATCACTAAAGAAAACTCAAACTGAGGTAAAACAGAAATGAAAAATTTAGGAACTCAAACAAAAACCTCAGAGGTAGGCTTCACCAACAGCGTACAAGAGATGGAAGAGAGAATCTGAGATACTGAAGACAAGATAAAATAAATGGATACCTCAGTCAAAGAAAATGTTAAAGCAAAAAAAAAAAAAAATCCAGGAAATCTGGGACACTAATGAAAAGACCAATTCTATAAATAACAAACAGGAATCAAGGAAGAAGAAACCCAGGTCAAAGGCACAGATAATATTTTCAGCAAAACCAGAGAAGAAAATTTCCTCAACATACAGAAGAAGGTACCTATCAAGGTAAACAAACCTATCAAGGTAGAACACAAAAAAGACCGAGCCAGAAAAAGATCCTAATTATACACAATAATCAAAACATTAAGCATATTCTTTTTAGGAGGCCATAATTTCCCTTATACCTAAACCACATAAAGACCCAACAAAGTGAATTACAAACTAATTTCCCTTATGAACAGAGATGCAAAAATTCTCAACAAAATACTTCCAAACCAAATACAATACATAAAAAGATCATCTACCATGATAAAGTAGACTTCATACCAGAGATGTAGGGATGATTCAACATACACAAGCTGATAAATGTAATCCACAACATAAACAAACAGAAAGATAAAAATCTCATGATCATCTCATTAAATGCAGAAAAGGCCTTCGGTAAATTTCAACATCCCTTCATGATAAAAGTCCTGGAGAGACTAGGGATACAAGGGACATACTTCAATATAATAAAAAGCAATTTCTATAAAGCCAGAAGCCAGCATCAACCTAAATGGAGAGAAACTCAAAGCAATTCCACTAAAATCAGGAGCAAGAAAAGGCTGTCCACTCTCTCCATTCTACTCAATATAGTACTTGAAGTTCTAGCTAGAGAGCAATAAGGCAACCGAAGGAGATTATGGGGACAAAACCGGAAGGGAAGAAGTCAAAGTATCTTTGTTGGCAGATAATATGATTGTATACATAACTCTATCAGGAAACTTCTACAGCTGATAAACACTTTCAGCAAAGTAGCAGGGTACAAAACTAGTGCAAAAACCAGTTGGCCTTTCTACATACCAATGACAAATGGACTGAGAACGAGATCAGGGAAACAGTAGCTTTCACAAAAGCCTCAATAAAAACAGCTTGGGGTAACTCCAACTAAACTAATGAGAGACTAGTGTGATAGAAACTTTAAGACGTTAAATCAAGAAATTGAAGATGTCAGAAAATGGAAAGATCTCCCATGCTCATGGGGGTAGCATTAACATAGTAAGAATAGCGGTTAGCATTACCAAAAGCAATCACTCTACAGATTCAATGAATCCCCATCAAAGACCAACCCAGTTCTTCACAGAAATTGAAAGGCCAATTTTCAGCTTCACATGGAAGCACAAAACACCCAGGACAGCAGAATGGCTGCAGGGGTTACCATCCCTGATTTCAAATTGTCCTGACAACTACAGTAATAACAATGGTATCAACATAAACAATAAAATGAAGACACAGACATGTATCCACACATGCAGGGACACACCTGATTTTTGATAAAGAAGTCAGAAATACACACGGGGGGGGGGCGGCAGGGGAACAGCATCTTCAACAATTGGTGCTGGTCAGACTGTACTGAGGCATGTACAAGAATGCAGATAGATCCACACTTATCATCATGCACAAAACTCATTTCCAAAGGCATCAAAGACCTCAATGAAAGGCCAGATACACTGAATATGATAGAAGAGAAAATGGGAATAGTCTTGAACTCATTGGTACAGGAAAAAAACTTTCTGAAAAGAATACCAGTAGCCCAGGCACTAAGAACAATTAATCAATGGGACTTCATAAAACTGAAAAGCTTCTTCTGTATGGCAAAGGGTACCATCATTAGGAGAGAGCAACAGCTTACAAAATGGGAAAAGAGTCTTACCGACTACATATCCACTAGAGGGTTAATAGTTAAACTATATAAAGAACTCAAAAAATTGAACATTAAGAAAACAACTCAATTAAAAATAAACAATGGGGTACAGACTTAAACAGAGTATTCTTAAAACACAAGACCTAAATGGCTAAGAATCATTGAAGAAATGTTAAGCATTTTGGTCATCAGGAAAATGCAAATCAAAATTACTCTGAGATTTCATCTTAGACCAGTCAGAATGGCCATTATCAATAAAGCAAATGACAGCCCTTGCTGGCGAGGATGTGAAGGGGAACACTCATTCATTGCTGGTGGGAGTGCAAACCTGTACGGACACTATAGAAATTGGTATGGCGGTTCCTCAGGAAGCTGGGCATCTTAGCTACCTCCAGATGCAGCTACCCTTCTCTTGGATAAATACTCAAAAGACCCAACATCCTATTACAGAGCCCCTTGCTCAACCAGGCTCATTGCTGCTCTATTCATCATTGCCAGAAACTGGACACAGATAGATGACTGACAATACAGTACATTTGTACAATGGAATATTACTCAACTGTTAAAAAAATCAAGAAATTCATAGGAAAATGCATGTAGCTAGAAAAAATTTAGACATCTCAAGCCACCAAAAGAAACCTCCAGTGCCAGGAATGGGCTAAATCTAATCAAGTTATTGGTGAAAGGAGCTTCATGAAATCCCCCCAAAACCTCAGGCTATTGCCAAGACTACTGGTTGCTCTCCACAAACTGGTGTAAGGCCCTATTGATGAAGACAACACCTATATAACTCACTGTAGCACAAATTCTAACTAGTTTTAATAATTAAAAACTCGGGGGTGAAAGCTCAGAGAGAGATTAGAGAAGCAGAGCAGCCAGCCATTAGAGAGGTCTTACTTCTACCAAGGCGCAGACCAAAGAGGCGATTCTGTCCTCAGACTGCTTCAGATTAACTGACTGCTCTGAGCGCCTATCTCCTCCTGCCTTATATTCCTCTCTCTGCCCAGCCATATCACTCCTGTCTCCACCTCCCAAGTGCTGGGATTAAAGGTGTGGGATTCCCAGTGCTGGGATCACCTTTGTGTGAACTCTGTTTCTCTTTTAGACTGGATCAATTTTGTGTAGCCCAGGGTGGCCTTGAACTAACAGAGATCCTCTGCCTCTGTCTCCTGAGTGCTAGGATAAAAGGTGAGTGCCACTACTGCCAGGCCTCTACAGCTAACAGTGCCTCCGCACTTTGCACTTCAGGCAAGCTTTATTTGTTAGAGATCATAAACAAAATATCACCACAACTCACTGGACAGGGAGAAGCTGAGCTGGTGCTGACTTGGAGTCTTCACCCCTACTGGCTAGTGCTCATGGCATGGGAAGGAACTCCGCATGCTACCAGAGGAGGAAGGTACACACCAACCTAGCTACAAATCCTTCAATCTACAATAGTGAGTGACCTGTCTACAAGATACACTGTGTAAGTGTATCTTAAGACTCGCCCCCCCAATATTAAATCCTTCCTTTCATTCAAATGAAGGCTATAATAATTTTTTTAATAACTTTTTCCCACAAAGGTTATGGGAGTAACCAACCACTATCTCCTTGGTATTAAGGCCACTCTATGAGATGGGACGCATGCCTGGCAAAGCTTTGATAGCCAAAAACCTGAGCCTAGATAGGCCACGGTCATAGGGGAAACCCAAATACTGCTGTTCTGCTAAAGGAATGTATAGGCATTCTGCTATACTCATAGACCAGTGTCTTGCTCAGTCAACGGAGAAGCTTCCTCTTGCAGTAGATGGAACAAGAACAGAGACCCACGGCTGGACAATGTACAGATAGTGAGAAACCTTGGAACACTCAGTCCTAAATGTCTCCACCAAATCCCTCCCTTCAGGACTCAGAA